TCCTTACTCAGCATCTAAGGACGCTATCATTATCCTATGACTTTGATTATACCAGTAATTAAACAAGCTAAAAATATTCGACACCCTAAAAACTCTAAGAAAGCATGGAACCAATATACAAAATAACCTGCTCATACTTTCATCTCTCTTGCAGGCATCCTGGCTCCCAGCAATAGCTTTTTCATCTTTTTTTCTTTAAACAAGAACACTTTCAAGGCTTTGATTTGGTGAAGTTCAGTACAGAAACTGAACTGACAGACCTTGAGCTTCTTTGAGGCACTTCTGCTTGCAAAATCAGAATGCTTAGGACCTCTCAGTCACTCTAGCACACGTTTCTATTCTTTCTGACGTTACTGGAAAAATCCACGGTGGGATGGTTTTAACAGGGTATGCCTAGGCACAACAACAGATCCGTAAAACAAGAGGTGGCAAATGATACACGGAAAAGAAAGCTATTTCAGTCTACGTGTTCCAGCACACCACATGATTCCTCCTTAGGTCATTTGCCTGTACCGTCTCTCCTGTTCACACGCATATGCTGACATAAAGCTCTAAATAGAGCAAGGAAATAAAATGGAAAGGACTGACATCTTCATAACACTCTCAACCTACCCATCTTGTTCTGTTGTTTGATTTATTTTATAGTTCGGCTTGAAAAACAACTGTTGATATATCTCTGTTTATACTAGAGACTGAGCAAGGGACACAAACAAGCGCATCACAGCTCAGCACTAGTCTCTCCCATCCTTACCCCTGGATTTGAGAGCATTTGCAGACAGCCCTGCAGAATTCAGCTGAGTACTACTCATCCCTGGAAGTATGACTGTACAATGCAGCAAAAGCCTCTGGCCACTCTAGAACTCCATATCCCACAGCTTCCCAGTAACATTTCTGCACTCATCCTTCCAGGCTCTGAAGGAAACTCAAACATACTATAAGGAGGAGTGAAGAAGCTGATTTATGAAGGCATGAATGGTTCTTTACAGAACCAAGGCTTGAACTATTGGTGTACCACCAAGCAGGACAATAGCTCACAGAAGACACGATGACATCTCTCCATTTCAATTTAATACTGAATGCTTTTAAGAGATGGCTTTTCAGCACTGCATATATTTTTCATGTCATCAAATTATACAATGACATGCTTTATGTAGCAAAACAACGTAGCAAAACATACCAAAACAACATGCATTGATGAATTCCTGAATACTCCATGCTGTTTCTGTAACACGTTTGCTAGCTTGGAGCTATTAACGAAGAAACCCCAACCAACTTCCATCAGTGCTAGCAAAATCGACAGCGTAGTTATCGTGTGCTTGGTACTCCTGACTCTATGTTGCCACCTGTGGACAACCTGATGCTGTTTACTGCAGATCACTGTCCTGGTGCACATGAACCGGACACTAAGACAAGGAACAAAAGCAGCAGCTGATGGCCACAGCCTTTCTGAGCTACCTTCTTCACCCAGCCACCCTTAAGGGTGTGAAAACACAAGGAGGAGTTACACACACATCCAGTCCATAACTACCGGAGCAGGAAAATAAATCCATTCACTGTTATTCAGTACATTAAAGATGAGAATATGTACACTGAAGAGATCAGATAATAGGCTTTCTAAAACCTATCCGCAGCTCCATGCAGCCCATTATCTCTGCACTGTCAGGTTTGCAGCATGCCTGAACACCTGCACTTCGCAGCACTTGCAGGAAAAGCTGCAGAAAGAAACACCTGACTAAACAACGTAATTCTATATTTTCATCCTAGAGCTATTAACCAAGTCCTGCTTTACTCAGAATCTAAGGCAACCTGCTGAATTCCCACAGTGTTAAAAACAAAGCCCTGCCCAAAAGCTCCCGGAGCAAACCAAACTGCTGCTGGGGTTGCTGACAGCAGGCAGAGAACATCTCTGGGCTGCCAGCCCTGGAGCAAGGCCTGGTTCAGGTTCACCAAAATACAGGAAGTAACTAATTCCTGATTATCAAACTAATTGGTTGTTGCAAGTACAAAGTGGCAATTTTATCAGCAATTCTAGCTGAGATACTGAATGCAGGAAGAGCAAATGGGGAGAGAAATCAGTGAATGCAGCATTAAGAATACACTGGATCTACACACAAGAAGGAAATCAGTGAGCAGAACAACTAACTTGCAAGAAAATCAACCTCACTAGAATTCTGCTCCCATTTAGTTAAAACACAACTAAACAAAACCCCTTTCTGATTCCAAACAAATCAATTCAGCCAATACTCTGCTCTGAGACTTGCCCTATGCTGAGATTGAAATTTGAACTTGAGTTGAATTCTGAGTCTATAAAACTACCCATAACTGAAACTTGAACAGGGATAATAAATTTATAGACATACACAGGAGAGACAAATCATGGAGATAAGTATCATATATAAATCCACAGTATCTATATAATTACAGCATCAGAGATCCATGATTAATGTTTAAGACAGAGATACACACAAATCAGGATGCCTCCACAGGAAGGTGGCAGTTCTGGCCAGCCAAGTGCTTCTGAGGCAACCACCATCATCATCCCCATGTGTAGCACAAGGGCGTGCACTGCAGTGAGCTATGGGAGCTCAACAAGTGGACTCCTAGGCGGTCAGCTTTGAAAGCTGAGTGACACATCCTAGCGCTGGGCAGACAGCAGGTCCTCAGCACCAACTGTTTCAACCTGAAGTGCACCCAATCCTCGAAAATAACCCCTCTGGCACCCCTCCTGGTTGTTCATGCTGCAGCAAGCCCCAGTTCCACAGCAGGGCTGTGCTTACCCTACATCTTGCCCGCTTCAGCCAGAAGAAGGGTTTCTCCAAGCAGCTGCCACTCTCTTCACTCTGAGAATAAACACAGAGCCCTAAAACCGCCTCACAAAAGCATATAGAACCATAGAATGGCCTGGGTTCAAAAGAAAAGAACCACAATGATCATCTAGTTTCAACCTTGCTACATGCAGGGTCACTAACCAGCAGACCAGGCTGCCCAGAGCCACATCCAGCCTGGCCTTGAATGCCTCCAGGGATGGGGCATCCACAACCTCCTTGGGCAACTTGTTCCAGTGCCTCACCACCCTGTTTGTGAAAAACTTCCTCCTAATATCCAACCTAAGCCCCCCCATCTCAGTTTAAAACCATTCTCCCTTGTCCTATCCACTCTCATAGCACACAGAGAGAAGAAAGCAGCTTTTCTCAATCAATCACAGATCCAAGAAGCACTAGCATTTCCTTAATGTGCTAAGAAATAGAACTGCAGGCACTCGTGCCAAGCGAAATGCACTTAACAGCTTCCAGTGAACAAAGGATGAAAGAGTTAAATATGCATTTATATTCATTTCTTAGGCTGCTACCAAGCACTGATGCATGCAGCAAAGCTTGCACTGAAACCCTCATTTATTTTAGAGACAGCATGTATATTTTTAGACAAGTTTCTTCAAGAAGTGAGGCTTACTTGATCACACCATGCTGCTGCCCACCTGCCCTTCCCAGAAGATCATTCATGGCAGTATCCAAGCTACCAAGACAACTAATTCCTGAAGGCAGGCAGAGGAGAGCTCATACATAATCTCTCCCCCAAAACACGTTTTTAATGCAAACAAGTTAAAAGGACTAAGTGGACAAACCTGTGATGCACTGGCAATTTTAAGCCATCTTACTGCTATAATAAAGCAGGCACCTGAAATGCCACGTAGCTGCTTTTATACATGTCAAAACTGGTACTGCCAGTCCCTATGTTAAAATTGGGATTTCTCCCATTGTAAATATATTTTCTTTCCTTCCTAGCTAAGGTGGGAAACTTCATTTAGCTCTAGGAGCACCTATGCAATTACCTTAAAGGGTTGAACAAGCCACTGCATAGCAGCACCAGACAGAGACAGTCACTGCTGTAACCTTGTTTTCTCTTTTTCTAATTTCATTTGCAAGACCTCTAGAGGGCAGTGAATAAAAGAAAATAAAGTACCAGAAATAGCCAGGAACATTAAATATAATTTTAGAAATTGGAATCTCCTCTAATTATTCCCTCCTACCGAAAGCCTTCCAGGTAATTATATGGATTTATGGATTAATCCAACAGAATTTTGCCAGCCCCCAATGCTATGCTCTGTTGCAGCTTGCACTGACAGACTTTACAGCACTGCTCCAACCATTGACGTTCCTTTTGAAGCTGAAAGTCTTTCTTGGACTTTAACTTATGCGGCATCTTACGCCCATTGTGCTCACAAACATAGCATTTTCATTCCTACAAAAAAACACACTAAGCCAAAACAAAATGAAGTCAAGCTGACTTGCTTAGTCAGTCTACAACAGTATGGTATTAACATTCAGGTTCATGTCAAAATATCCAGGAACTATAACAGAAGGTAGTCTCAGACAACTCCACTTGGATTTTTGTGCACATATTGGACACTGATTAAGGCGTACTGTTAATAGCTTCATTATTCTTTTCACTATGGCTTCTACAATGAAGCTATTACCAATAGAAATATGCAAAATTAACTTAAATTGGCTACAGACTGAAACAACAGGGTAGGTGCTGTATATTCTGCCTTAGCTTGCACAGTAAGAATGGCAATCAATACAACACCAGCCTACCATTATACCATTTCAGCTATGCTTTAGTAACTTCCTATGGCTTTACACATCTGAAATCAGCTATGCAATTATCACAGGTAGAGTTGTCCTCACCACACATTAATATTCTGCTTATTTTTGGAATGCAGAACAGATGTGTTAATGCCTCTAAGAACATTAAAGACCACGAGCTCAACAAAGTGTGTTAACATTTGATCACTTGATGTTAGAGCCCTGAGGGCATCCACAGACCCTGCAAACCTCCTGGCCTGCCCTAAACAGGACAGTGGGAAAGCAGGCCCCATCCCTGCAGTACCCAAAGCCCCTCTCCAAACACCTTCAAAGATACTGCAGAGTGCAGTCAGCAACGTGCTGTCACTCCATCTAGAATGAGAAAGACACGTTTGCATTTGAAATACACAGACTTACGTGAACTTCTGAGCCCTCTTCATACTCCATCAAAGTACACTGCAGTGTCACAGAGAGATGTCCTACAGGGATGAAAAATTGGGAAGACGTTATTCATGCTCATTTCACAGAATGCAACTAATTTTGCTAAAATTATCCTTAGCTGCTCCATCCTAAAAGCAAGACTAAGGTGCACAGGGGGGGCAACAGGAAGGGGCTTTCCAAGAAGCCACTTGTCATTTTTTTCCTACCACAGCAACTCTGCACCCCAGATTGCACCAACTTTCTAAGGTCCATTTGTTTCCTCCAAATCTTTTTCTGAAAGTGTCAGACAAAGCTGAACAGTAACATTGGCTGTTTTCTCTCACCACAAACCCTTGTGCATTTACTAAGATCCACTTAGATAATTCAGACACTTTTACAGAAACAGCATGAGCTTAGTGAAATGGAACACACAGCAAAAGAGGAGGTCTGTGCAGGGTCAGAAGGAGCATTCTGGGCTGCCACATGAACTTAGAAATCTTCCAACACTTGCTACAAAGCCAAAAAGGAAAACAGATTTGACTCAATTTGTTACAAAGCCCAATAAATGGCAGTTTTCTCACACAGCCCACAAACTAGCACACATTCACATGCAAACCCTGTTAGCAAACACCTGGAAAAAAAAAAGTATCCAGTAATCAGGACCAAAGCTAAGTTTCTGCTTTAAGCAATTGAATAAATGGTGAAAAAAACAAACTAAGCAATTCAACAGCCAAAAGTTACCTTAATTCTAACTGAAGAAACAAAATGGGTATACACTGGGCAACTTCTAAAATCAAGCACTTACAAAAACGTCCTCAGTGACAATTTTCACTAATGCTTCCCTAAAGCTTGCCAAATTCTACCCATATCAGTCAAATGTCACTGTGATGGGAAGGAGCACTGCTGATGAAGCCTGGAGGAACCCCTTTTCTCCTGGAGAAAGCCCCTCTTGGTGACAGCACTCTGCCTACAGACTTCTTTCCACAGAAATAAACAGGCAAGGCAGTGCACAAAAGCAAGAAGTAGTCAAAAGTGAAAATAAAAGAAGCAAATAGAAAAGGCAAGAAGGAACTTACTGTGATTCAAAAAAAAAAAAAGTTATCTCAGAAAGGGGGAAAGAAGAAACAGACGTGTGTCAAGACCTTGTAGCAGTAGCTCTGGGTCAAGGCAGCCCTGGGCAGGCTGTAAATGTTGTTAGATTTCCAACAGGGAACACAGATGCCTCCAGCTGCTTGTACCAATAGCACATATACTCTGGGTCTGTACTTCATTATTTCTGAGGATGGAAGCGCTGTGAGTTCAGGATCTTCTGGAATCAGAGTTTGTGTTCTTTAAAGCTAAAAAGGGTTACATGGCATTTGTCACGAGATTCTCCATTCAGAAGGCTGCTTCTATTTTACTAAGCAGCTTTACACTGATTTCTCAGTTGCCTGTAAGTACTCTTCAAAAAGATTAAATCAAAGTCTGAATGGCTTGCAAAATTCTCCCCTGCCAACTACAAAGAATCAAGAGGGATGAGAGGCTGAATCCCCGATTTAAGCAGGAAGGCTGGTGCTGTCCCAACTAATGAATGCCAATCAGAGTCTCTCATTACCCAATACAGCTCAGATTGAATCTAAATCACACAGAAGTTGTGTTCTTGATACAAGTGGCTGCATTGCTTCTGAGATAAAAGACCACATCTTGCTCTGGTGATCGTGGAGAGGTGCTGGGCTTCACCTTCCCCGTGGCAGCAGTAGCACCTCTGCAGGTGCTAAAAGGACAAGAAGAGGGCTGCCTGGGAGGCACAATTCATAATACCTCTACTGCTCTGTAACCTCGTTAACACTCTTTTTTACAGAAATCTTTTGTTTGAGTGCAAGCCAGTCACTACCTCCCCCAGGCACACAGGCTTCCTCATGCTGAACAAACTTCCCAGGCACACAGAATTAGAGTACCTCCAAAAGCAAATCACAGAACAGCATGCAGAAAAGGACACAACTTGCTCTCTCCAGCACTGGAAAATAACCTTGTAATTGTACACAAACTAAGTTTCTTTAAAGGATCCAGCTTCTCTGTCTGCTTACGGCTTGCTCTTCTGGGAGTAATCCCAGAGCTGTGCTGCATTCCAGCAGTAACAAAGCAGATTTTCACTCGAACCAAATGAGCAAATATAAATGTTTATGTTTCAAATATGCAGTTTTGCACACAAATTTCTGCTTGGTACAAACTGAACCACCTGCAGCGAGAGGTCACAGGCCTGGCTTTCTCTGCATTGTCCCCAGACATTTGGGCTCTACACATCACCTCACAGTGCAGAATGTGGGGGGAAGAGGCCCTGCTAGCAAGAATAAACTTGTGGAAACTAAGGCTGAAAGACTGAAGCTGAGTACAGCAGTGAAGATCCCTGTCTTGCCAGGCAGGAAGTTGAAACCTACCACAGGTGAGGCTTTCCTGGCACAAAATCCTGATTCTTCAGAATCCAAAGGCAGCACTTTTCAGGCTGCATTCACAGGAATAAAAACCAACACCGCCGCCTTCTATCAGCCCTGCCCTCTCTCAGCCCACCAGGCCTCCTTCCAGCTGCTGCCCTGCAACTCCTTGCAGAGAACAGCAGCAGGTAGGATTCGGAGAGATTTGCTCTATTTCATTGTCTTTTACCTCAGAAATCTTGCACATTTGGTTACGCAGAAAATTAGGTGAAAAAAACAATAGCAATGAAGCTGCATTGCAGCAGAAAACAATTTGGCTACACAGGCCACTGCTAAATCAGAAAGGCTCCTGTGAATCTAATCTACTGCTAGCATAATGAGGAGGAGGTAAGTCATTAGCAAATGGAAACATTTAATCCAAAAAGTTTGAAACAATGCCAAATCTATTTTCTGTCTCTCAGTAGCAAATTACCTGAGAAGCTCCTAGTAAGCATAGTTACTGTGATCATTAAAAATAAAAACTGAGAAGTGAGGTAACTGAAAGGGTAAGGCTTCACAAACCCTCTTCCACCATCAGCATTAACGTCCTACAAGTTCATTTTGCTTTGATGAAACTTCTGCCTTCACATACTATGATTTACAACTGAAATTATAATCCCTGCATCATAGAACAGCTTACACTAGAAGAGACCTTAAGGGTCATCTAGTTCCAACCCCCTGCCACAGGCTGGTTACCAACCATTAGACCAGGCTGTCCAGTGCCTCATCCAACCTGGCCTTCAGTGCCTCCAGAAATGGGGCATACACAGCTTCTCTGGGCAGCCTAAGCCTGGGATTCATCATCCCGAGTCAAGAATTAACTCGTAACATCTAACCTCCATCTCCCCTCTTAGTTTTAAACCATTCATTCTTGTCCTATCGCTATTAGGCTAAGTAAAAAGTTTGTCTCCCTCCTGATAAGCGCTCTTTTAACAACTGGAAAGCCACAGTAAGATTTCTCCAGAGCCTTCTCTTCTCTTAGCTAAACAAGCCCAGCTCCCTCAACCTTTCCTTCATAAGAAAGGTGCTCCAGCTCTCTGAGCATCTTCATGGCTCTCCTCAGGATCCACTCCAACACCTCCATGTCTTCCTCCAGCAGGGGGCCCTGGCGAGCAGCTGGTCCAGTAACACCTCAGCTGTTTCTGGTCTGTCCAATACCTGGACCAGGAAGTCTCCTAGATTGCTTTTCAGCTCACTGTTTTGTTTTCTCAATTTGTCTGGGTAGTCAAAATCATTCTCACAGGCTCTCATCCTACAGGTGATGCCTCTCATAGTTCAAGTAAGGTCTAACCAACATGCTCTCCATGACTGGGAGGCCTGCTGTAGGCACTGATTGCCAGAGATCCTTTTTGGGCTGGTCTCTTAACCCACAAGCTCTCAATCCGGTAATGGTTGTTTCTCAGAGGCAGCTCTTCACAATCTATCCATTTCTCCACATATATTCAGGAACTATCTGCACCTATTATAGCGTGATTGGGTTGGAATCCCTATCATCAGTACTAGGACGAGCAACATTTCTCTTACCAGCGTGCTGTCTGCCCGAATCCCCTCCAGCTGCTCTGCAGGCACCAGCACCTGCTGTCTCTCTGCCGTTCCATAGGAACCTACTTCTCTGCACCCAGGGCTGGTTGGGGCACCCACAGTAAACACAGGCCCACTGCCTCCAGAGTCATCATCTCCACACAGAGAAACTGCCAGCTCTTCAAGGCAACTTCCCTCCCTGAACATAGCAATAAAAAAGCTGATCTCTTGCTGCCCATGCAAACAATTTCTGCAAGATCCACCCACGGTGATGCCAGAACAGCAAGGTAAGGGATCACTGCCTGCATCTGAGCTCAACCGAGGGTTTTATTCCCTGGTACCAGGCATGAACTCCCTCCCCATCCCCCCATTGAAGTACCCAGAATGACCAAGTGTCTTGAGGAAGCAGATGGCACTGGCAACAAGCTCCTAGGAGCTCTAATAGTATTGCAGTATATTTAAAGCCATTTGCTCAAAGAGGTTTTTGTTGTTGTTTTTTATTAAAGTAAGAACAAAAGCTCATTCTATAAATATTTTACTTCAACTAGGAAATACATATAGTTAAAATATTACTGTAAATAAACAGAAAGAAAAACCAAAGAAATCTGTCATCCAAATGAAGGCATTTCACATTTTCAGTGGACAAGTACCTAACTCCTTTCCACTCAGATTTCTTATTTTGACCCACTCTGCTCACCAGGCAGCCTGTGAGATGGATGAGCATCAAGTCCTATGCTTAATAAGAAGCAATGCCCCATGCATGGCACAGGGATGGGGCTGTTCAGTACTGATCAGAGATGCTGGGAAGGCATAGAGTATAGAAGACCATGACTGCACACTGCAACGAAACATCTGAGTCAAGTTGGAGCAGCATGAACCAAGCACAGGCAGAACTTCAAGCCCTGCTCAGGAGAAGCACTTCCATGAGACAACATGGCCGGCCCCAGACACAACACCAACAAAAGTGGAGTGGAGACAGGACAAGGGGAAATGGCCAGAAACTGGAGCATAGGAAGTTCCGCACAAACATGCGCAAGAACTTCTTTACAGTGAGGGTGACGGAGCACTGGAA